GGGGTCTGGACGAGCCTGTATCCAGAGATCATGTAGGGTACCTGACAGTAGGTGTCTATGTTGCTCTTTTTTAAAATAACCTCCCTTTGCAGGTACGGACGCCGAAGAAATCGGCTGTGGTCAAACGGGCGACAAGAAGTCGAAGCTCCGGAAGACGTGTTTCTGACTGGAGTAAGAATCTGGACGCTCGATAGGCGAAAGCCTCTACCGTCCTGTGCAACCTGACCTGACCTGACCTGGTCCTGAAACACATTTAGGACGCGTTCTTCATACTGAAGGTTATGGAACTGTCGCACACTGTGGAACGCCTAAAAGGAATAGACCAAAATGAAGAAGGAGGTCTTATATCCAAAAAGGAGAAAAACTTATTCAGAAAACCGCAAGCGTCGCTTTTAGGATTAGATAAACTTGCTGAAAAGAAACGTCAAGAAGCCTCTGATAAATCGGTCTTTCTGAAACGGGATACTTACCAGTCCGACAGGTACCAAAGTTGTGATTTGCTCTAATTGCTTTTCGGTAGATATTACAGGGAGAAGCGCGTCGAGACACCATCAAATCGCGGTGGTGTTAGTAAAGAATTTTATGATTCCCTGGAGCGTCGCCGTGAACGCGATCGCAAAGATCGGCAAAAAACTGGGCTAGTCTCTACAACAGCTAAGCGCACAGGAGAAAATAGTGATTTGAGTCATAAGAAGAGTAAGCTGCAAGTTTTTCTGACGGCTTATTTGTTTATTGATCCGTCAGAACGCTAGTCGTATGCTCCGTAATGCTTTTAACTGTATAGCATTGTGCTTTCCGATGGTTTGCAATTTGTAAGTCTTATCTAGACTTATAAATTCTTCACCCCGTTTTTCAGGATCGTGTTAAAATAGTTGCGTTCAAGTCGGTTTTCGTTTTGCTTTCCTAATTTGCCATCACATGCTAAGGGTATGTAGGTATTGATTATGTTTTGGGTGATGGAGGGTCAATAGTCTAGTCGGTATCATCGGCGTCCTTTGGACCCAGTGGTCTAAGTTTTGAACCCCACCACCGCTACCCAATTTTGGTGGTAGTTCATCCCTGCTTTCGACCGCTGCAATACGACGCTTAACCTAGTGGGGCTTTATGCGGTTCGCCAGGTTCGTCGAGGCTTAGAGTACCGGTCACCATCACTGAACAACAGGTCTTTGTGACTCTGGGGTCCGCCCCGCCTGCTGTTCATTACATAAGTGCTCAAAATCCTGTGAATATCTGTGAGTATACCCATGTGATGGCGGTAATTGACCCGCAATGTTGATGCGCATGTAATCAAAGTGAGCTTCTGGCTCTATAGACAACTAATAGCGTGAGCATTTGAGATTGTTGACACAATACTGTTTCCCTCACGCGTCTTTCTTCATGGTGGCTAGACGTATCGTGCAGCAATCAAACAAAAATTAACTGCATTTGGGGAACAAAACCTCTGTATGTATTTCTAACACGCGTCCAAATCCAGACTGCAAAAAAGACAAGGTACGACACTCCTTATAATAAAGAAATAGATCCATAATTTGCTTGACAGTGGAATACAGCAAAGTCGCCCAAGCTTAAACAGGTAAATTTTCTTTGGGAAATCACAGTCGAAGCCTTTGGGTAGCCAAATCCTGACCCACAAGGCAGCTTGTCATTGTTTAAAAATCGTATTCTATTAGAAGCCGGTGCTCAGCATGTTACATCATTTGGATGGGATCAAGCGTCCAAGTTGCCTTATACACCTCGTTACTCAGTCAAAACGAAATGGTGCGTGTGTGCTGTTAATACACCTCTTGGTTGGTATGAATTTGGAGTTTTTGGCCAACTACTTTAGTTGAACTGCCAGTGATGCACCCACCGAGATGTTGACTTCTCGTCTGCGCACTCTGATGGTCGAACACCGCCACTAAGCTATTCGGAAGGGCTTCCTCGGTAGAGGCTTTTCGAGACACTTGATTGTATGGGAGCAGTCCGAGAGGTGCAAGAGAAGGGTCACCAGTCATAACCCAAGACAAACCCCCAGAATACTAAGGTTTTCTGAGACAATTATTTATTTTAGCACGTAATCAATTGAGTGGAACTAGTAAATGTGCCACAACATGTGAAGAAAAAAACTGTAGAATGTGTTCATAGGTTGTATGTGCATGTCATTTCCCGAATAATACACTCTAAAGTAACCGAGACGATGGTCGGATGACAGTATAGTAGGTCGAGGTAGAACTGACACTTGAGATGATACTACTAAAAGTCATTATTGCAATAGCCAGATATATTTCTGAAGTTTAATGAACCGCCTATTCGCATGACGTGCATGTACTTCAGCCATAACACAAATATGTGAAGGCGACTTTGTCTCATTACCGTGAATCCCTGGTAAAGTGTCAACATCTGTGGGGCTTACTAATCGAGACATTAATCGCAATGCTAAGCGCGACTGAGAGTACATATTCACAAGTGGAATGAATCGTCTCCAAACCAAGTCACTGGCGTGCTTTGGACCTTGTGTTTCGAGGTTCGAGCCCCACCATCTAACTTTGGTGGTAGTCAGTTTTGCTGCCGTTCGGTTCTATACCACGCCTGACCTAGCGGTGCGCAAGTCATTTCTTTGACTTGCTAGTTTTATATGCTAGCTCTTACCTGTTGAAACATTTGATATATTTTTACTTGAGGTAAACACTTTCTTATCAATCCTGACGGCATTTGCTTTTGTTATTTCAGTTTCAGTTTTACAACAATTAACCATACACTTTCCTGCGCGGGTTTTGGTTGCTGTCTTTTGGTTGCCCATTTGGATAAAATAGCGAAATGAAGTTTGGAATGTCGAAACAAATTCAAGCGGAAGAT